TCTCTCTATGACCCCCTCATCACTTTTCCACAATAACTTCCTCATATAATTTTCCCTGAGGGTAACCTAGAAGAGTGAGTGTTACCCAAAGCATATACTGTATGCAGAGCATTTGATGTCATTCAATGCCTTTTCCAAAAGGAGCCATTTCTGCCAGGTCGGTATTCTCCAAAGCCCAAAAGCCCTTACAGGTCCTCCGTAGTTGCTGGGGGTGGTGGCTCAGGTCTGTAATTGCAACATTTTGGGAGGCCGAGGCAGGTGGATCACCTGAGGTTGGGAGTTCAAGACCAGCCTGGCCAACACAGTGAAACACCATCTCTACTAAAAACACAAAAATTAGCTAGTGTGATGGCATACACCTGTAATCCCAGCTATTTGGGAGGCTGAGGCATGAGAATGGCTTGAACCCGGGAGGTGGAGGTTGCCTGGGCCACAGAGCAAAACTCTGTCAAAAGAAGGAGGAGAAAGAAGAAGAAGGAGAAGAGGAGGAGGAAGAGGACGAAGAAGAAGAAGAAGAGGCGGAGGAAGAGGAAGAACTACTCCACAGTGTCCACTGATAGCACCTGAAGTGAGTTGTGAAGACTGAGCCCTTACAGAGCAGCCTCTCAGGTGCTCAGGCCCCATGAGCCCAAATCTCTTTCTGGGAGATTTGAAGAGACACACAGGTCACTCTACCAGGTAATGGGCAGGCCCAGTAAACCATAGCTTCATGCAACCAGCAGTGCCTAAGAAATGGGTTCTGAAAGGGCTCAGCAATGTCATGTAGCCTCTCCAGGACTCTCTCACTTTCCTGCACATTGAGTCTTTTGTGAGTTAGGCTCATATATGGAGATTGTGACTTTGCTAACCTCAGCCCTTCACACCTGTGTCTTTCATTGTTACTGCAAATTGACCACAACTTTAATGTAATTGTAGCAATTTGCAGAAGCAGCATATGTGTGTAGGGGACTCTGGGGTGAGGGGCACCTGGCTTTGCACCAGGAAATAAAATACTTTTCAATTTCAAGTCCTTTAAAGAATGTTTAGTCTGTGATTTCAAATGAAATAATTTTTTATTAAATTTTTATTTATCAATTACCTTCATTTCAAATACAACATATACCCTTCTATGAATAGGTTTCTATTCTGTTTTTTGAAGTAAAACTCCTTATTGTGTCTCTCCGCTAGCCTCCTTGCCTATTCTAGAGCACCTGCTGCACCGTGGCCGAGATCATCTTCACACACAGCAAATCTGAAAACACTCTGAGGATGCCACATGGTCTGATGTGGTAGGCAGAACAACAGTCCCCCAGGATGTCCACGTCCGGATCCTCAGCATCTGTAAATATGTCACCTTATATGGCAAAGGGGATTAAGATTGCAGAGAGAATTCATGTTACTAACAGCCCGCTTAAAGACAGGGATTCTCCTTGACTACCCGAGTGGGCCCCCCGTCATCACAAGAACCCTTCACGGTGGAAGAGGAGGTGTGATGGCAGAAGCAGAGGTGAGTGTGACATGATTGCTTTGAAGGTGAGTGATCCATGACTGGGTGGTTTCTGGAAGCCAGAAAAAGCAAGGATAGGAATTCTCCTATCGTTTTAGGAGAATTTAGGGGAGCCTCAAGTCTCCAAAAAGGAGCATACTCTGACTGACCCATGGCCGTTAGCCCAGAAAGACGGTGGCAGACCTCCAATCTACAGAGCTGTAAGCTGGAGCGTTTCCTGGCCTCTTTCACCAAACATTACATTCTCCCTTTTCTGTGTTCCCCAGCGTGAGGTTTGTCTGCATGCCCGTGTCAGGCGCTGAATTATGACAATCCTGAAAGTGAAGTCCCTGTTTCTCTATGCCCAGTATGCTACCTCACCAAAGTCAGTGTTCAGAAAGTAGGTGAGGATTGATTGCCTTTCAGTTAAAAGCAGCTGCACCATTATATGAAATCTTATTTATTTATTGAAATGGAGTCTCACTCTGTTGCTCAGGCTGGAGTGCAATGGCACGATCTTGGCTCACTGCAACTTCAGCCTTCCAGGTTCAAGTGATTCGCCTGCCTCAGCCTCCTAAGTAGCCAGGATTACAGGAATGCCCCCCCATGCTCGGCTAATTTTTTATATTTTTAGTAGAGACAGGGTGTCACAATGTTGGCCAGGCTAGCCTCAAACCCCTGACCTCAGGTGATCCACCCGCCTCAGCCTCTCAAAGTGCTGGGATCAAGGCGTGAGCCACTGAGTCAGGCCGCATTATATGAAATCTTAAAAGAAATAGTTCTCTGTGTATAAAGCATATTGCAGCTACGCTCAGGGGAGATGATATTCCTAGCGCTAAATTACCTGTTTTGAATTATTGCATAAGTATAGTCTCAACAGTGCAATGCTTAAAGACAAACACTATATTTTATTTCTTGCAAAATAATATTTTATTCACAAAATACCCATTATAAGGCTGAAGAGTTCACTGACATCCATATGGTGAAAAATGTAAACAAACAAATCTTTAGAGCTGTTAAGAGCTTAGCGATGCATTTAAGTTCTCTTCCAGTGAATTGGCATTTAAGCTGCATTAATCACTTTTGAATAATTGATACTATGATCTGCCATTGTTCATTCAACTTAGTAAGGTGAAACTTTAAAAACCGCACTGATTAAGATCTTCCAACTTGAAAACCTCTATTCGTTTCTCTACGGAATGCAGCACTGTCTCCCTAAGCTAACGCAAATCAAGTGTAGGGAGAAAGGTCCCAGAACCTGGCACTCTCTGAGCTGCCATCTCTACCTCCAGAGGCAGCACAACATGGGATGGGCTTGTGGAGGGAGCCAGGGCCTTTCTGCCTGTGGGGCCAGAGAATTCTCACCGCCCTTGATCTTTCCGCTACTCTCCTGTGGCGATGACAAAACCCAGGTAAGGCAGGTTGTTCGGCCACCTGGGATCTCCCCCTTGGCCCAGCTTTGAAGCCAGGAATCACAGAGAACAGGCTGCCCAGGGGCCTGTGTACTGCCTGTGATCCAAGGATGGGAGGCAGTTTCAGTGACAGGACAGAGGGAACCCTGCACAGAAGCTACTGAGGATGTTGGCTGTGTTTAATTGAATCTTTGAGACATTGGTATTGTTATTTTTTTTGGTTTTGGTTTTGTTTTTTTCTGAGACAGAGTCTCACAGTATCACCCACACTGGAGTGCAATGGTGAGATCCTGGCTCCCTGCTACCTCTGCCTCCCCAGTTCAAGTGATTCTCGTGCCTCAGCCTCCTGAGTAGCTGGGATTACAGGTGCCTGCCGCCACACCTGGCTAATTTTTGTATTTTTAGTAGAGACAGGTTTTACCATGTTGGCCAGGCTGATCTCGAACTCCTGAGTTCAAGTGGTCTGCCCACTTCAGCCTGCCAACACGCTAGGATTACAGGCGTGAGCCATCGCACCCAGCCAAGCTACTAGTTTTTAAGGAAAACTAATCCTAGACAGAAATAGAATAGAAATTGCACACATTCATAAATTTGTCTAACTCCTAACAAGTGTACCTTGTCAAGGGTGATACGGCTTATGTGTTAGAAACATAATTAAAAATTGGCCGGGCACAGTGGCTCACACCTGTAATCGCAGCACTTTGGGGAGCCAAGGTGGGCAGATCACAAGGTCAAGAGTTCAAGACCAGCCTGGCCAACACGGTAGAATCCTGTCTCTACTAAAAATACAAAAAAAAAAAAAAAAAATTAGCTGGGTGCGGTGACTCGTGCCTGTAGTTACAGGCTGTTACTACAACTACCCGGGAGACTGAGGCAGAGGAATTGCTTGAACTAGGGAGGCGGAGGTTGCAGTGAGCAGAGATCACGCCACTGTGCTCCTGCCTGGGTGACAGCGCAAGACTCCATCTCAAAATAGTAATAATAATAAAATACCAATTTTATCACACGATGGTAATGTTTACTGCTTTCCTGAAGTGTTTGTTTGAGATTTTCCTCTGGAATGTACTTGGGGCATATACAGTTATACAATAAAAGTAATAAACTATGAAATCAAAAAAGTATTTCAGAAACACTCAGTATATGAACCTTTTGCTCTAGCAGAATCTATTCACACGTTTTACATCCAGTGTTGGAACATAGGCATTTTTCTTACAGAAATTCTCAAATAAGGACAAAGCATCCCTTAATATGTAGCAGAATGTTTACTGTGGCATTGTTTGTAATAATAATTTCTAAAAACCTGACAACTCCCTAAAATGTTATCAGTGAGGGATAGAAAACTTATTCTGAATACTTGCTATCTAGCAGGGTGCAGCTGTTAGAAAGAATGAGAGAAACCTAGCTACAGCCTGACACGGAGAGATCATCAAGACAGAAATGACATGAGTGAAGCGAGGAAGTCAGATAATAATGCATAAAGTAATATTCCATTTATGCTAAGATGCAACCAGACAACACAGTTGTGTTTAGACAAATTTCCTGGCTAAGCTGAGATATTGTTTGAAACTTTTAGAAAAATGCATTTGTGGTCTACAGATATATAAATCAATACAAATAAAACAGCACTTGCTGTGCATGCTGTCTCAGTGCATCTCTCTGAAGTGAGATCTCATCATTTTGCAGATGAGGAAATTCGGGCACAGTGAGGTTAAGGGATTTCACCCAGAGCCCACGTTCAGTGAGTGACCGGAGCTTTGTAAGGCTCTTAATCATTGCTGCTATACTACCCTTTGAGTAATAAAAACAAATTTAATCAAGAGTTCTAACCAAACAGATCTGTTAAAGAAAATGAGGAGATTGGATCAGGTGAGGTATAAGATCTCCTGAGCGATTATATCTTATGAGAGTGTGAGCTTTGGGATCAGCCGGCCTTGGGTGAGACTCCAGATGTGATGCTGACACTCGACTGTGTCCAGTTAACTAAGTGAGCTGGTTTCGAATCTGTAAAATGTAAAGTGTAGGCACTGCTTTATGGGATTATAGTAGTGGGAGGGGCCGGTCCTGAGGCACCCTGGGGATGGCTCCTAACAAGTGCTCAGGAATAATATCACTTTCTCCCATGACTCCAAAATCCCAGGATCCTAGTCTTACCTGAATATTTATGGAGTAAAACCTATTCCCAAGTTACGAGATTTCTCTAGAGCTCAATCTTTCCTATCAGACTGCTAACCACACACCTCAGCTTGCATGAGCCAAACCATTAATACTCAGTCTGTTTAAAACCAGTATTACCTGCTTTGTTCTTGTCCAAGGCCAGCTTATTCTCTAGCGCCCCCTATCTCGACAGCAACATCTCATCAGTTGCTAAAACACATATCTGCACTCAGTTGACACTCAGTCGCCCTCTAAGCCCTGTGGATGCAACATTCTGAATACATTTTGAATGTGCCAACTTTTCTCTGTCCGGATGGCTGGCATCCTGCTTAGGGTGCCATCATTCTTGGCATAAGTTTCTGCATCCTATTCAAGCCACCTGCCTCAAGTCGTAATCCCATCCTGTTCGAATTACACTGCGGTCAGGGGTATCCTTCTAAAATGCACACCAGATTCTCTGAAAAATAATCTGTCTTGCGCTTAAAGGTGCCCCTAAGTGACCGGGCGCGGTGGCTCACACCTGTAATCCCAGCACTTTGGGAGGCCGAGGTGGGCAGATCACAAGGTCAGGAGTTCGAGACCAGCCTGACCAACATGGTGAAACCCCGTCTCTACTAAAAATACAAAAATTAGCCGGGCATGGTGGCATGTGTCTGTAATCCCAGCTACTCAGGAGGCTGAGGCAGGAGAATCTCTTAAACCCAGGAGGCGGAGGTTGCAGTGAGCCAAGATCACGCCACTGCACTCCAGCCTGGGTGACAGAACGACACTTCATCTCAAAAAAAAAAAAAAAGTGCCCCTAAGATACTGTAAGAGCTCTCATTGCTTGTGGATTAAATCCCAAATTCTTTATGCCTGAGTTGGTCTTCTTCAACTTCATCTCATATTCCATGCCTCTTCCAGACTCTGAAGCAGTTCATGGAGCAGAACCTTTATATTCAGACACACTGAATCAATTTTAGCTCTGAACATGAGTGATTTTTCCAGCTTCATGGGCTCGGCCCACACCACCTCCGACACCTGCCACATTCCCTTTACACCCATCTATCATTTCTTTACTACCTGATTCTTATTCATTCTCCAGATCTCAGTAAAGACGTCGCTTCCTTTCTGTTAATTTCCCTGATATCTCCACGTCTCCATCTCATGTTCAAGACAAGGGACGTTCTTATGTCCTCCCATAATGTACTGCCTTGAACTGTCTCCATCATGGCAGAGCATGCTGTATTACAAGTTTGATGTGCAGGAAATAGGGCCCAAGTGGTGTTTGCCATTCATCAGTGTGGCATAGCCAGTGCAGTACTGGGGCAGACCCCTATCAACGACCTTTTAAAAGATGCTAACGTGACCTTTTAAAAGATGCAAATCTGACTTTATCACTTTCCTGCAAGACCTTTGAGCAGCTTTGAACCGCTTTGTCTGTTTCCTCCAAAGACAACATCCAGCTCCCTGCGCAGCCTCAGGCCTCAGTGTCTCAGCCCCTGGCCCTTCTAACTTTACTTCCACTGCCATTCTCCATCTGTCTCTGGTACAAAGTTCTTTCCTGACACAAGGTCTTTGCTTATGTGGTTTCTCTTACCCGCCTCTGGATTTCTTTCCTTGGCAAACTACAAATCATCATTTAGGTCTCAGTTTAAATGCCACTTCCTGAAAAATGACTTTGCTGAGAGCCTCAATTGGGACTCTCAGTTGTAAAACCCCTGCACCTCCCCATGTGTGTGTGTTCCCCCATGCACTCTTCCCAATTAGACAGCACAGTCCCCAGGGACTGAATTTTCTTCACTGCTATCACACCAACACCTAGCCAAGAACTTGCAGCAAAATCTATTTGTCAAATGGAAGTATAAATCATTAAGGAAAATATCTGATCAGTGATTTCATGAAAAATACAGTATATAATGAACACCTAGAAGTTTATTATACTTAAATGGGCCATCTCTGATATGGAATAAGTTCACTACAAGTTACATGTTTTTGAAAAATAATAGCACATATAATTCACAGATTTAATGGCAGTGTCACGTCTATACTTGCATTTTATGTGGCATATTGTAAAAAGAGTGAGTTTTATTATCCAGATTATCTAATAAGGAAACAATGTTTAAATGCTGATATGGTTTGGCTGTGTCCCCATTGATTCAAAGACAAAAAGGGTTTAAATAAAATAAGACCAAAGAAAGTAAATAGAAAAGAAGAGGGAATTTGTGAGAAAACATTTTAAATGGTCCATTTTCAATGCGTGATAAATCTAAGTACTGGCAGCCACCCTGCAAATGTAACAAACTGCATGGCTCATGCACCTCGAGGATCACAGTAAGCAAACAGATTGAAAGAAGAGGTCAGCCCATAAAAGGGAAACAGTTTCATTATTGGGAAATTGAAACAAGCAGGAAAGGGGACTGGGCTATAACCTTATAAAGGGATAATGAAACTTAGGTCGCGTCCAGGAAAATTATAACCCCATAGACTCAACCAATGAGGAACTGGGGGAGGGACTTGCGTGCTAGAAAATTAAAATTAAAAATAAAAATTAAATTAAAATTAAAAATTACTGGCTGTGACTGCGCCAGATATACCTGCCTACCAGACACCCAGTCTTGCAAGACCATTATTAAAAGTCTCACTTTTGCTGTTCTTTGTGCCGCTAAGTCCACTCTTTGGGTTTGAATGAGTGAATAGATTTCTCACACCCACCCAAATCTCATCTTGAATTCCCACGTGTTGTTGGAGGGACCAGGTGGGAGGTTACTGAATCATGCAGGCAGGTCTTTCCAGTGCTGTTCTTGTGATGGTAGGTCTCCCAAGATCCGTTGGCTTTATAAGGTGGAGTTCTCCTGCACAGGCCCCTTCTCTCTTTGCCTGCTGTTTACACATTCATGTAAGAGGTGACTTACTCCTCCTTACCTTTCACAATGATTATGAGGCTTCCTCAGCCTGTGGAACTGTGAGTCCATTAAACCTCTTTCTTTTGTAAATTTCCCAGTCTCGGATATGTCTTTATCAGCCGCAGGAAAACAGACTAATACAAATGCCTTACATAATCTTGCAGTAGCTGCATGTATGAATGAGAGGCTGAAACGGTGTCTCTTCTGCACAGATGGTACTAACTTAAACTCTGTCAAACAAAAAATTGTTTGATAGTCACTTAACAGTCATCACCTCTGCTACTATACCTTCGAGAATAAGCCACTGATTCAATTTATCTGAAATTATGATATTAAAATAATTTTTGAAGTTTGTTTTTACATGTGTCTGATTATCTATCTACCTCTATTTTATTTTACGAAGTTAATTGCTTTTAACTTCAGTGTTCTTCAAATCACTCTGCCTCCTTTGCATTACAGTATAAAAATAGATCAATTTTTTTCCTATTGATTTCTAAACGCTTGATGTCTCCTCTCTTTCTCTTTAAAACCCAATCTGATAATGCGGATTTAACATGCCTACCTTCAACATTATGTTTTGTTATTTGTACTAAGTTATTTCATAGTGTTTTTTTAAATCATATGCCTAATAAGTCAGGTTTGGACTTTTACTCCTGGTTGGGAATTCTTAAGTAAAATAAAAAGTGATTATTTGTCAAAGTTTAATTGAGGCATAGCTAAGAAAATGCGGCCCATAGTTCTTCCCTCTTGTTGCTCTAAGATCTGTGTTTTATCTGTCAAAAAGCCTTTCTCATTTTCAGCCTATGGAGTCATGATTAAGGAATTAATAGAACACCCAGTGTTTAAGAATTTAGCTTAACCCTGATACTTACTCTTGAACAAAGTAAGTATCAGGGTTAAGTTAAATTCTTATAACTCAGGGGTTAATTAGGCAATTTTTGCATTTTGTTATATCAATTTTTACCCTGTCAACATTGCAAGTCGTTTCACATAACTACTTGCAATGTAGTCACTAGCCGTTTTCAGTCTATTCATGATTTGCCATGATAATTACTTCCTATCACTCTATCTCTTCAGCATTGCTGCATAAAGGAAACAAAGATCTATCTAAAGCATGTGGAAAACAAAATAAATAGAAACTGAGAGGAAAACAGCAAATTTTATTTGTGTATTTAATCTTTTCTCCCTTTCTATGACTTGATTTAATTTGATGTTTGGAACACAATCTATTTCTAAAATTTCTGAAGACAGCTTCATTTTGTTCTTTTGTTTCTATGTTTGCATTTCCATCTCACTTCCTTAAATTAATTTTCTTCCATAAATTTCATTTTAACATATATCTAGGTTTTGTGATCACACACACACACACAGACACACACGCACAGACACACACCGCTCTTCTTGAAGTCTATACACAATTTACACCATTTCTCTGGACTGTTGAAACTATTATATGACAATTGTTTACTTTACATTGAGGGATTAATTTTTGAAGACATATTAATTAAAACAAAGATTAGTGGACTACTTCAATATATTGCGAAATTGTTGATTATAATGAGATCGTTATCAGGGCTTTAAGCTTTTTAGGCCATGAGGAATCATTAATGGCACTCCAAATTTCCATTCAGTAAATTAATATTTTTAATACCTTATATATCTTTTTCTCCCCCCAAATAAAATAATATAGTATTATTAAATCAACTCAAGGGAAGATTTTAGAAAACAACGTGTTTATAGTAGACAGAATTCTAAGATACTGCCTCCCACTGCCCATGGCCAAGATTCTCTACCCCATTGTATGCACACCTACTCCCAGTTTTTCAATCAAACACTAATATAGATACTGCTGTGAAGAGATTTTGAAGATGTAATTAAGGTCCTGACTCATTGACAGGGACATTATCTGCATGGACCCTAACATGGGGAGATTTTCTAATCATATGAGCCCTTACAAAGCAGAAAATTTTCACCAGCTGATGTCAAAAGAGAAAGTCAGAGATTCAAAACACAAGAAAAATTTGACATGCTATTGCAGTTTTGAAGAAATATGGCATTCTCTAGGATGTGACAGTGGCCTCAGTGGACAGCCAGGGAACAAACAGGATCCCAGTCCTACAACCACAAGGAATTGGATTCTCCAAACCGTGCTGATAAGCTGGAAGTAGATTCTTCCTCGCTCAGTCCTCCAGATGAAAACAGCCCACAGCACCTTGATTTCAGCCTTGTGAGATTGTGAGCAAAGAACCCAAACAAGTCACACCAGAATTTCTATCCTGCAAAACTATGAATCATAAATGGCTTTGTTATAACCTGCTAAATTTGTAGTAATTGGCAATACAGCAACAGAAAACAAAGAATTTAGTATTGAGAGGAGTGGTTTCATAATTAGGCAGTGGAAGGAAGACAGAAGAAAATGAGGAATATGACTCAGAAACCCTAAGTTACCTCAGACAGTGCCTAAATTGTTGTGCCCTGGCAACTGACCTACCAAAAGTGTGAGATAATAGATTTGTATTATTTTCAGCAGCTGAGTTTGTGGTAATTCATTATGTGGCAATAGAAAATGAAGACAGTGTCTATAACATGTGAAACTAATATTTCATTGTAATATGAAGCATTTCACACTACAAAGTACTCAGATGCTGGACAAATTATGACATATAAATCTTAAAAGATATTGATGAGCTCCCAATCCAGTAATTATAAGCTTCACCCACCTACTCACTCTAGGGATTTGATATGGTTTGGCTGTGTCCCCACCCAAATCTTATCTTGAATTCACACATGTTTTGGGAGGGACCTGGTGGGAAGTAATTGAATCATAGTGGCAAGTCTTTCTCATGCTGTTCTCATGATAGTGAATAAGTCTTGCAAGATCTGATAGCTTTAAAAAGAGGAGTTCCTCATGGACACAGGGAGGGGAACATCACACACTGTGGCCTGTCATGGGGTGGGGAGCAAGGGGAAGGAGAGCATTACGACAAATAGCTAATGCATGTGGGGCTCAAAAACCCAGATGATGGGTTGATAGGTGCAGCAAACCACCATGGCACATGTATACCTATGTAACAAACCTGCACATTCTGCACATGTATCCTAGAACTTAAAGTAAAAAAAAAACAAAAAACAGAAAAAACAAATACATATACCTATATTAACAACAAAGACGAAATAAAATTAAAATTAAAAGAGGAGTTTTCCTGCACAAACTCTCTTACTTTGTCTGCCACCATCCATGTAAGACGTGACTTGCTCCTCTTTGCCTTCTGGCCATGATTGTGAGGCTTCCCCAGCCACATAGAACTGTAAGTCCAATAAATCTCTTTCTTTTATAAATTGCCCAGTCTAGGGTATGTCTTTATCAGCAGTGTGAAAACAGACTAATACAGTAAAATTGTACCAGTAGAGTGGGGTGCTGCTGAAAAGATACCCAAAAATGTGGAAGCGACTTTGGAAGTGGGTAACAGGCAGAGGTTGGAACAGATTAGAGGGCTCAGAAGACAGGAAAATGTCAGAAAGTTTGAAACTTCTGAGAGACTTGTTGAATGGCTTTGACAAAAATGCTGATACTTATATGAACAGTAAGGTCCAGGCTGAGGTGGTCTCAGATGGAGATGAGGAACTTGTGGGAACTGAAGCAAAGGTGACCCTTGTTATATTTTAGCAAAAAGACTGGCAGCATTCTGCACCTGCTCTAGAGATTTGTGGAACTTTGAACTTAAGAGAGATGATTTAGGGTATCTGGCAGAAGAAATGTCTAAGCAGCAAAGCATTCAAAAGGTGACTTGGGTGCTGTTAAAGGCATTCAGTTTTAAAAGGGAAACGGAGCATAAACATTTGGAAAATTTGCAGCCTGATAGTGAGATAGGAAAGAAAATCCCATTTTCTGAGAAGAAATTCAAGCCAGCTGCAGAAATTTGCATAAGTAACGAGGAGCTGAATGTTAATCCCCAGGAAAATGGAGAAAATGTCTCCAGGGCATGTCAGAGACCTTTTTGGCAACCCCTCCCATCACAAGCCTGGAGACCTAGCAGAAAAAATTGGTTTTGTGGGTCAGGTCCAGGGTCCCTGTGCCGTGTGCAGCCTAGGGACTTGGGTGTCCTGTGTTCCAGCTGCTCCAGCCGTGGCTGAAATGAGCCAATGTGGAGCTTAGGCTGTGGCTTCAGAGAGTACAAGCCTTGAGCCTTGGCAGCTTCCACATGGTATTGAGTCTGTGGGTGCACAGAAGTCAAGAACTGAGGTTTGGGAACCTCACTTGGCTGTCCACAAAACACTTGGCTGTCCAGGCAGAAGTTATCTGCAGGGGTGGGCACTCATGGAGAACCTCTACTAGGACAGTGTGGAAGGGAAATGTGGGGTCAGAGCCCCCACACGGAGTCCCTACTGGGGCACTGCCTAGCGGAGCTGTAAGAAGAGACTCAGTGCCCTCCAGACCCCAGAATGGTAGATCCACTGACAGCCTGCACCGTGTGCCTGGAAAAGTGCACTCAGTGCCAGCCCATGAAAGCAGCCAGGAAGGGGGCTATACCCTGCAAAGTCACAGGGGTGGAGCTGCCCAAGACTATGGGAACCTATCTCTTGCATCAGTGTGACCTGGATGGAGTCAAAAGAGATCATTTTGGAGCTTTAAAATTTGACTCCCTGCTCTATTTCAGACTTTCATGGGGCCTGTAGCTCTTTTGTTTTGGCCAA